ATACCATATAAACGTGGTTAACACTGCCACATAAACTTGATTAACAAATACCACATATACTTGATTAACATATACAAAATAAACATGATTAACAAATACCACATAAACGTGGTTAACACTACCACATAAACGTGGTTAACACTACCACATAAACTTGATTAAAAAATACCATATAAACTTGATTAACAAATACCACATAAACTTGATTAACAAATACCACATAAACATGATTAACAAATACCACATAAACATGATTAACAAATACCACATAAACATGATTAACAAATACCACATAAACATGATCACGTTTATGTGGTACTTGTTAATCAAGTTTATATGGTATTTGTTAAATCAAGTTTATGTGGTATTTGTTAATTAACAAATACCACATAAACGTGATTAACAAATACCACATAAACTTGATTAACAAACACTACATAAATATGATTAACAAATACCACATAAACTTGATTAACAAATACCACATAAAGTTGATTAACAAATACCACATAAGTATGATTAACAAATACAACATAAACATGATTTAACGAATACCACATAAACTTGATTAACAAATACCACATAAACGTGATTAACAAATACCACATAAATATGATTAACAAATACAACATAAACATGATTTAACAAATACCACATAAACTTGATTAACAAATACCACATAAACACGATTAACAAACACTACATAAACATGAGTGACAAATAACATATAAATGTGGTTAACGAATACCACATAAACGTGATTAACAAATACCACATGAATATGATTAACAAATACCACATGAATATGATTAACAAATACAACATAAACATGATTAACATGTGCCACGTTATGTCAACAAGTCTAACAATTTAACAGTGTTAGTGACAAAGTATCAAAAGACATAATCGATTCTCTTTCTTCCTTTATCTATATATTCAAAAAGTTACTGTAAACCTGCATGAACAGAAGTGTTTTGTCGTGTTTTTTAGGCTGTTTAGTTTAACACTTACACGAATTTCAACTTTAAACTGACGGTCTCATTTAAATAATTATCTTCATCTTTAAAACTTTGTTTTTTTATTTATTTCGAAAACTATCCATTTAAATGTACCGAGTAAACAGAGGGTTGAGTAAGTTGTATTAAAGTGATTTTGAATATGCAAATCAGCAAATCACGTGACAAACACAGTCGATACAAAGTCGCGGTGGAGTGACACGTATCGGAAATTGCATTGCTTGACTTTACGTCGGTAATGCGACGCCGTAGAAAATTGATCGCTTTTGGAAAGGATATGCAACGGCCTTTTCCGACGCAAAATATTGATATACTCATATCATAAATTTCAGATATGAGAATTAGAATTTCCAAGACTGGTATATCTCTTTTTCTTAATGTCCTTGTAAAACAAAGGAATATGGATCAACTTGGGTCACCAGGACCATCCAGAAAGAGACCTGCAGCAAATATACCCCAGCCGTGGAACGTAAAGCGCGGAGTCTTGTAACAGGTGAAAATCCGTCTGACTTAGTACATAATATAATCAAGAAGAATCTCGCTTCGGAAAAGCGATACAATTTACGTTTACATAACTTGCTTCCACGACATATCCGTTCAGTCATGACATACTTCAAGCAGCTGGAGAATGAAACATATGTTCATGTGATACCAATCAAATTGCCGGACGCCTATGGATTTCTATGTTATCGGACTATTAAAATGTGTGCTGGGAATCCATTGCTCTTGTACACTAAATTATTTTTGAAATAAAGGATTTGATTTGGAAATGACAACCTTACGACTGAGCCTTTTTCAAGGAATCTAAATTGCAGGGCTATTGTTAAGCTGCACAGTCGTCAGATAGAACATGACTAGACGTTGAGACATTGATTGTTATGATGGTGTAAGCTTCCAAGTCGTTTAAATTTAGCATAATATTAAAAGGCTGAAACATAAATTTACACTCCCGTAGATGACGTGATTGGACGACGAAACTCGTAGAGTGTCTGTTTTGAGACCGTTGTTGGTTTCAAAATAAAGTTTTTGAATTGTGTACTTGAAAAACAGGATCGTTTGAGCACATTAATTGTATAATATAGCGTACTCAACCTCTGTACTTCTATGGCTAAAAAATGTGAAGTATGTTTTTACTAGATTACCGTTCTGTCATACTTATGTTGATTTAACAGGATAAACATAAATAATAACAACTGATCAAAAATTTAAGGTTAGTTTTCCGTTTGTTTGGGCCCGGCATGGCCAGGTGGTTAGGGCGCTCGACTTGCGGGTCGCGGGTTCGAATCCCGGTCACACCAAACCTTTGAGCCGTAAGGGCATTATGATATGACGGTCAATCCCACTATTTGTTGGTAAAAGAGTAGCCCAAGAGTTGGCGGTGGGTGGT